TTTTTTAAACTTGTGCTTGGTATGTAGTCTCACCAAAGGTTTTTAATCCTTGTTACTAAGTACATCATCTTTCCTAACATTTTTGGGCACCCTCGTGCTTCTACCCTTCTGATGGAAAATTGAGCCTTCAAAGGAAATTATAGTTCAAAATGCAATTAATAACAATCCCTTGAATTTTAGACTGAAACAAAGGAGTAAAATAGTTCATTCACCCTTTCAAAGTGAACTGGGATTTATGTCCAATTTGAAATGATCCAGTCCCTTTTGAATGGGCCATTTTTGTTTGATATCTATCCAATTTCTTAATATAGGTTATAAATTGGACTAAATTGACCCAATGTAATAAATTAATGGATGAAATTGGTAAAATTGAAGCTACATGACTATATTGAAACTAGAGATATATCACAGGTATAATCTGTTTCGGGCTTTTCATGATGTTGCCACATCATTTTGACATGATTGGTAGTTTGATTCTCTTTGTTTTTAGCGATTACCAACTGTTGAAAACTACACCAAATTCCAACTATAGAATTTAATCTCCAAATCTATTTTCAGTGTGGTTCACTTGCACAGCTGTAATTTCCTATATTCCGTCTTTTATAAAATCTGGTCAAACCCGGTATCTCTTCATATTTACCATGTAATTGCAAATTCATATAGAGCTAAATTTTAAGCATATGTAGTTGGAAGCATGTTGGATGCACACACATTGAGAATTATGATTAATATATTTTTTTCTGTCTTTACATATTGTGAGTGCTCAATGTATGCATGGATTGAGGTTTGAGGGTACTTTTCTGTAACCATATGAAGATGGAAGAAATTGGATCTCCAAAAAACTGTTTGAATCTGATATAAAGACTCTTCAGAACTTCAGTTTCAGGTTGTGGACTGCCTAGTTGTTTTTGACATTTGTGCAAATCTTTCAGATGGAAGAACTGATGAAGAACCAGATGTTTGCTACACATGCAGTTGCTGCTGCAGGTTCAGTCACATTGGGCACTGCCCTCACTTACCCTCTTGATACTATCAAAGTCCTTATACAGGTTCGAAGTTTGAAACCAACCTCTGTCTGCATTTGTATGCTCATATGTGTGTGCGTATGCATGTTGGTGTTGATTTTGGAACTGTTTGTTAGCATATGACTATCTGTTTCTAATATTGATGCTTATTTGTTGTGGTGGAGAAAATAACAGGTAGGGTCAGTTTCTAATAAACAGCTGACTACAGCTCAGGTTCTTGATAGAGTTAAAACTTTATCAGGACATGCAGGTAATTCGATTAACTTATTGTCTTGCTTGAGCTTCCATTAGTGCAATGAGTCATGTAGATAAGGTTAACAGCTACATGTGAGCTTAAGTTATTTATGATTCTGGTTTATTACTGCTAGTTAAATGAATATTCTCTTCAATGAACATTGTAGGTTTGTACAGTGGTTTTGGGTGGTTAATGTTGGGAAGGATTTTAGGTGCTAGCGCTCGCTTTGGTACTTATGAAATTTTGACAACTTTTTATAAAGGTATATTCTTCATTCTATGTGCAGTTAGAAGTTATTGTGTTTGTTCTTAATCTGTTTCGTTAGATGAGCAAACCTAGGGGAAAAATTAGGAGGAAAGGTTCTAAACTGAAATGACAGGCACTTATTCTTTAAATATTTTGCAAAATAATTTGAATTCTACTTGTCCCGAGTGTTGGTTCTCAATAATCGAGGGTGCTGGGAGCTTAGGAGGGTTAAATTGGATAGAGACCGAATCCACATTCACGCACATGGAAGCTCGAATAGTTTGCTTAGTGTTTGGTGAATATGTACTTGGAAAATTAATGGGTTTGTTGAGTTGGGTTGTTCAATTTAAGGTAATCCATTTTCCTTTGAGGGGATAGGTAATTTCCATGGACTATGGGAATATTTTTGGGCACCCTCGTGCTTCTACCCTTTTAAGGTAAATATTGTGTGTTGGTCACGGACTATGGAAATATTTAGAAGTTCTGCTAAATGCCAATCGGGCCCTGCTCTTCTTCATCTATTTTATTAGCCCTGACCTCCTTCGCGCTATTTCAGATTCTGATTTCTAAATAGATTTGAAAATTTTAAATTTGATATGATTAGATTTTAAATTTTAAATTTACTTCTTTTCTGTGACTGTTGTGTTGGATTTTCTTTCCATTAGTTGGTCTTTGGATGGGGAGTTTACTCCCTTTCAGAAATTTCTGTTTTGACCTTCAAACCACTGCCAGACTTTTGATGCTGTTGATGGGAAGCAAGCAGGACGGACGAGTTGCTCTAGTCCACTGGGGGAGCTTTTTCTTTTATATATAATGTAGAATATTGATTGAATTTTTTCTTGTTATAAAACACTACTGCAGGATGTGATGCACTTGCCTCTGCGGTATGTACTTCTGTTATTGTCTTTGGTTGGCCATAGCAAGTGTATCTCTTTCATAGTTTGTTGATGATGTTTATCAGTTTGCGTCCTTGGCCTTTGGGAGTATTATTATGTCTGGAGGGACTACTTTCTGGTTCCGGGTGATAACAGTTGTTCTGTTTTATTTGGCAACATGGGAGCAGTAAGCAATCCAACTAATACTGGTTTATTACATTCTGCCTTGTTACGAACACTTGATTGTTCATTCTTGCACACCTCTTCTTTTTTCTGTTCTTTTCTTTGTTTTTTGGATGGTGGATGCTTCAGTTATCATAATATTTCCACTTTCATTGTGGGCCAATAAAGTTGTTTTGCTATGCCATTTCCATTTCTAAAGGAATTTCATAGGGAGATGAACTTTATATAATTAACTTGCTTGCAACATGATTAAGGCCATGAAGCGGCTACACTTGATTTGGCACAACATTTAGATTTGAATTCCTTGAATGGGAGCCATTTAAAATGTTTTAATATTTAATGGTTAAAAATTTGCTTTGTGGCACTGATGCTTTTGATGCAGTTTATTTTTAACAAGTGGATATCTAATGGAACATATTATATTATTTTGCAAACTAATCATGTAAAAACAAGCTTCTAGCTAGGAGCATTATGGCCTCTTGCATTTTGTCTTTCCAAAACTCCCCTCTCTAGATTTTCTTTCACCGTATTTGATTTCATTTTGCTCAAGGAAATAATTAGGAAAATATTTTTGGATCGATTAATTTACTTATTTGGAATGAAAGTGGTACCATGTTTCGGAATGTGTGTTCCAAAATGTATGGGGTATTAACATTTTCTGGTAATACTGGTCTGTCCTACTTGCTTCTGAAACATACTAAAAATGTTATAATGCGACAGTGTTGCTTTAATTTAATTTAATTTTTTTCATGTTGTCATTTATCCATCTATTTTTTGACTGCAGAAATCCCAACAAACAAGGTTACGCTGTTTGCAATAATAGTTTTTGCTATTATACCAACGAGCTTATTCAAGTGAGTAGTTCTTCATATTCTTAATGCCAAAAAAAATTACTTACTTTATTTGTTTGTATCTGTTGCGATTTACTTTGATGCCCTGAGAAAAAAAAAAAAAAAAAACTTTTGACTTTCTTGATGCCATCGTGTAGTCTTTAGTAGAGTACTGTTCCATGTTACATGTGAATGGGCTGTACATTCCCAAAGTCATAGATTGACGTTGTAGAATAGGGTTTGAGTTGCTGATTTGAAATTGTTAGTATGAATTATAATCACATTGTAGCATCCTTGGCGTCATTACCATCAAGGATGCTATTCTTCTTGTGTTTGTTGGATGTGGGCTGAATACATGTCCATATTACTCAGCTGTTCTTGAAATATTTAGCTAATTGGTTGAACATAATTACATCAAAGATTATATCTTACACGCTATATATATATTTTTTCTTTTTTATTTTTTCTTTTCTAAATAGCATATCCTATTACACATGACAGGCTTCATATGAGCAGGATTATTTTGGTCTTGAGTTTTATGACATTTTTTTGCTCATGCCAAAGCTCACATTCATGACTTCTTAACTGCTTCTGGGTGATCATCAGCTTGACTTTACTTTATATGGTGTTCTGCGTTTGTGCAGCGTGTACAATGTTTGTAAGGTTGTTCAAGCATGGAAAGGAAGCATGCTACTGGCGTTGGCAATGGTAAACCTGTTACTATTGAAGCTTTTTAAGGCAATAAAGAAAATCCGATAATCATTAAAAAAATTGAAATACGAAGGAGGACAAGAAGTCCACCAAAATCAAAAAGGGAAGAAAAGTAAGAAAAACAAACCAAAAAACCAAAAACAAAGGATCTCATGCTCTACAAATACCATTCCAAATCCTAGAAATTAAAAAATGTGGAATCTCTTTAAAGAGCCTTAAAAACACAACTGCTCCCAAATTCTATCCTAATCTTCTACATTCTCCTAAAAAACTTTATCATTCCTTTCAAGCATAATACCCCAAAGACTGCACAAGCCACACATCTTCATAGAACCCAAGCCCTTCTGTTTGATCCAAATCCTCCTCTAAAATCAATACAAAACATAAGCTCACAAGAGGACAGAATGACCCAATTGACCTCCACCAAATGAAAAACATAAGCATTAATATTGAATGCTTTGTCTATCATTTCTCAAGTTTCTAAATAGATGTATTGTCACTGTTTCTTGTCAGCTTTACCCGTTTGTTGTGCTTGTGGGAGGAGTCCTGATATGGTACATAACTATTCATGCTATTTGTTTTTCACATGCTTAGCTTGGGGATCATATTTGATCATTTTTGTTTTCAATATGGTTGTTATTTCTTGTGCAGGGATTATTTGTCTCCATATGATTTAATTGGGAACTATCCACATTTGGTTATAGTGGGAACTGGATTCGCGTTTGGGTTCCTTGTGGTAGGATATCTCTTTCTGAATCCAGTCCTTCTCGGGTGTAAGGTGGCAAATTTACCAGTTACGTATTTGATGCTTTAAAATTATAGGTTTATTATGGATTGAATGAATTATTAGGAATTACAGGTGTATTGTTTTCTTGCTTTGGCGACCAATTTAGTAGTCGTGCCAAATAAATTATTTTTTTTTGCAAAAAATAACAATTGCCGACCAAGAGTTTTGGTCGCAAAAAATACATCTATTGCCGACCAAAACAGCTCTTGGTCGTGGAAACTCACTTTTGCCGACCAAAAGTTTTGGTCGCGAGGAATGTCACGATTGGCGACCAAAATTTTTTGGTCGCGGAATGTCACGATTGGCGACCAAAATTTTTTGGTCGCGGAATGTCACGATTGGCGACCAAAATTTTTTGGTCGCGGAATGTCACGATTGGCGACCAAAATTTTTTGGTCGCGGAATGTCACGATTGGCGACCAAAATTTTTTGGTCGCGGAATGTCACGATTGGCGACCAAAATTTTTGGTCGCGGAATGTCACAATTGGCGACCAAACTTTTTGGTCGTTGAATGTGATAATTGGCGACCAAACTTTTTGGTCGGGAAAATATCACTTTTCGCGACCAAAGTGTTTTGGCGACAAAATAAATTAGTCGCGGCAATTAAATATTTAGCGACCAAAAATTTAGTCGCGAAATCCAACTTTTGCCGACCAACCACAATTTTGGTCGCGAATTACGTTTGCCGACCCTCAATTGGCGACCAAAGTAGCGACCAAAAAAATTGATCGCGGATAACTTTTGCCGACCAAAAATTGACTTTTAGCGACTAATTTTTTTGTTGCCAAAAGTATTAATTCTTGTAGTGCAGGACGGGGCACAGATGTTGGATCAGTAGTAGCAGATTGAGAGTTTTGCTGCTTTTAACATTCTTTTCCTTTTGTTGATGCGATCTTTCTTTTCTCGTGAGAAATCAACATATCTTGTTCTTGTTTTTGGTCTCTCACTCATAATTGAACTATATAAAGATCCAATTAAACATAATAATACATGTAACTGTAGTAAAGTATATAAACTTGTAAATTGCAGTAAGTCACTCATTACAATCTTTGAAACTGTATGGTACTATTTGGAATTTACCCTTCATTTATTTTTCCTTTCTGCCATTTGTTTGTCCCCAAAGCCCCCACCCAACTCAACCCGGCTCAACTCAACAAACCTTTATCCCAAATAGTTGGTTTTCTTTTCTGGTTTTTCCTTGTTATTTATGTATATATTTTTTTTCTGTTTTTTGGCCAATATGCGGAAGTAAGATTGCACACATCTCACCCTCTCTAGATCCCAGAGGTGGGGGGAGCCTTGTGCACCAAGACTGCCCTTTAAATTTTTAGTAATTTATGCCTACTACAGAAACAATTTGTGCTCATTAAATTGCCATGTCCACAAAGTAGCCGACAAACTGGAATTTTCATATTTTTATCCTAAAATTAATTCCATCATTTCCCCAATACGATTCAGCTAATTTGGTTTGTTGGTTGTCAGAGCCCAAAACATAGAGAAGCAAAAAAACCTTTTCCATTACATCTTCAAGAAAATGAGAAATAAAAAACAAATACGAAATGACAATAACAAATCCAAGAAACCCTCATAATAGGTTGACACACAATTCATCGATGCAAGTCAAATTAATATAATACTGAGAGCAGCTACACTAAATTAGAAAACAACCCATTACAGCAAATGCAATCAAAATCCATCCACATCAAGAAATTCATGAAATCATCAGAAAAATTTAATACTCAATTAAGGCAGAGATTCATTAATTTAGAAGGGGTTTTGATAGCAGGGCTATTCACTTGTTGGTCAACAGAAAATCAAGCAAAACTAATGAGCTTTTTGTGCTCTCTTCTCGATGAGACACCGAACTTCAATTTGTATGTTGCGAATTGGCCATGAAGAGACCAGATTCAGACACTCGATTTTCAATTCAAACATGAAAATCTTCCTCAAGATGCTCAAAGGCACGCACTTCGAAATCCATGTGGACCTCCACACACACTAACAATCTGATCACTCTCTCTTTCTTTCTCTCTTTTGTATATATGCTTTTTAGATACTGCTTCAAATTTTGAATTCAGGTTAATAATTACCCAAATTACATATACTCAGAAATTCAATTAAAGAACAAAATTATCCAAATTACATTCATGTTGACAATAACAAAAATATTAAGTACACCACCAATTAAACAGATTTGACTTAATAATCATCAGCATGAGTAGTAGAAATCGGACCCAAACCTTCAAAAGAGGACGACGATGATGAAGAAGAGAAGGAGATAGACTTCAGATGTTTTGTTGAAGACCCTTCTGAATTGTTTTGTCAAAGAGATAAACAGATTCATTTGAGAGTTATTTTGTTTTAGATTACTATTATTATTTGTGTGTGATGTTAATTACGGTATTATTTAAGTTCTTATTTATTTAAAAACTCTTTGATTATTTTTTATATGGCGTTGAGTATTTTTTGTTCTTTTTGCTTCTGATTCTCATAAGATTTAATCATAACATTTATGATAATCTATAATTTTTTTTTTTTTTTTTTTGGGGCTCAAAACAAATGGAATCAATATTTGGTATATATTTTTTGATATAATTTTTTTTAATATGAAATAATATGCAATAATCATTCTATTAAAATATTTATTATCATATTTGATTTACTTTAGAAATTATAAAAATCGAATTATCATTCATTAGTGTAAGAAAATGATCATTTCATAAATGAACTAAAATATGAAAATTTCATTTCAATTTATTTCACTTTCATTTTAATAAATTAAATATTTTAACAAAAAGTTTAACTTCTTTCAAGTTCAGATCTCAACTTAACAAAACTTGAGAGGCTCATTATAACGATTGCGGTTTAGACCCGATCTTTTTCATGTTCTTAGATCTGGAATTCCATACCTTTAACTGTTGTTTATAACCTCTTACTCCCATTGCTAGTGGAGTTTGGTTGTTTGTGAGTTATTGTTGTGTTTGAAACAGGTTGAGAGTTAGTTTTTCAAAAGAATTGTTGTCCAATTTTCTTCTTAGTCGCTTAACGGTGTTTTGGTTACTTGAGCGGTCTTGAGATCTCCTAGTATTTTCACAGATTTGCAAAACTTTTGAAAGTGGAGTATCTTCACTCAAGCGGTATTTATTGCGCTCAAGTGGTCTTTTGTAGGTCTAAACTTCTAAGAGGGGATTATTGTGCGCTCGAGTGGTATTTTAGTCGCTCGAGTGGTCTGTGCATATATTAGATCGAGAAAAAGAAAATTTTATCACTTTTTCACTTCCTTTCTCTCTAAAACATTCCAAATCCTAATTTTTTCCCACTTTCTCTAGTTCTTGCCTTAAAATTCCAAATACTCCAAATCCATTGAGTTCTCCACCTTAATTCCTTGGAGAAAAAGGTAGAATTCGTAGGAAGTTTCGTTTTAATCGAAGAGGATATTGCTTTTGACTCCACCAAACTTCAATCCTTGCTCTCTTCTTCTTCTAATCTTAAGGTAGGGATTTCTTCAACCTTTGGTATGATTTTTAGCCTAGTTATTTGCTCATTGAAAGGATTTAGTGATTTAAGAAAATTTAGGTTAAACCTACGGTTTCATTTTGAAATATAAAAGAGAGGTTTTCTAATGGTTGCTTGAGAAAGGTTGTGAGGATGTGTTTATGGTTGAGATATGTTGAAATGCTTGAATTTCTTTACTTAAATGTGATTTTGAAAGTAAAGAAGATTTTGTTCAAAAATCATTGATATTTGGTTTATGAACGAAAATGGAAATGATATTGGGGTTTGAAAGGATGAAATGAATTTATCTGTTGATTATGAAGGTGGAGTTAGATATGTAATATCACTCTTATTTTGAAAACGATGAAATTATATCTTTGTTGGAAATTATCTGTTAAATAGAAATATCTAATTTGGGCTATCGGTGGAGGATTATTTTGATTGTTGTAGAAATTGCATGAGGATTATGTGAATTCAAACTAATTACTCATACATCTTGTATTGAGTATTGTTTCATGCTTAAGCATTGAAAGTGTATTGTTTTGAGAAAAATGAGTGAATACCTTGGTGAATCTGGTTAGAGGGTGTAGTTGTGGTTATTATGTTGGCCTATGTATCCTTGATGAAAGTCCAAAAATCCACGTGGTTAGGTGCCGATCCTTCTAGTTAGTACCAGTAAAATGGCTTTGGTAGTGCTTATATAGCCTAGTGGCAAACATATACCTAGAGATTCCCAGTGTTTCGTTTTGTATCCTGTCACGCCCTCAAAATAATACATAAAACCCATCATTTTAGACATGCCATGATGTACGAGAAATAAATATATTTCTATTAATCAGAGTAGCTCTTATAGAAATATTACAAACTACTAACAAACAAATGCCCTATGGGCTTGCAGCTTTCCAAGTTAACACTTGATCACAAAAAGAAAAGAGTACTAACTTAAGACATCTTAAGCCCTTGGCTTGAATTTACATATAATACATCAAAGAAAGCAAAACAACAAAAGCAGTCTGTCTACCTCTTGCTTCCCAAACTATGCCCTTAGAAGTGGCATGCTTCCTGTACTTGAAAATGGTGTCCTATACAGGATGAGCCACAGCCCAGTAGAAATACACTAAACCAACTATAAACAATGACTAAGATAATAGCGTTCAATGGGTGGTCCGCACTTATATTCCAATTTATACTGTGTTACAGTTTAACAACAATCATGTCCATGTTACATTCACTTTCCGTTTCTTAACCAATTCTCAATTCATAACTATGACTCAGAGCCTGGTCAAACAACCTATATGAGACAAACACTTATGTTAAGCATTTACATTTCGCAATAGATAAGCATACTAGCTATATCAATACATCAACAGATAACCATACAAGCTGTATCAATACATCAACAAATAAGCATATTAGCTGTATTTGCACTTCAATAGATAAACATATGAGCTGTATCTTCA